CAAAATCAGAAGCTTTTTGAGCACCATCATCATAATACAAGTGTAAAATTCCACATCTGATCTTGGGATGGTCCACAGACAAAATGCAGGTGCACAATACATAGTTTGTTCAGTTTTTCTCCAATGAGGTGCTCTCAAAACCTCAAGATGCAATCCGCAAGCTCTGCCCATGGACAAAACTATTTAAAGTATGCAAACTTACTCTCAGGCTGTTTGTGAGGTTAATATAACTTCATTTTCATTCATCATTAGGTGTGTGCAAGTAACTCACAGTAAGGAAGATCTGAATTTCAAAGTCATATGGCTCCTGGCATATCAGGTAAAGAAAATTCAACATGTATAATTACCACTCCGGCTGCACCTCACCCTATCTGCAGCAACCTTTCTCCTGTACCTGGAAGAAAAGGCATCAAAGAAGGATTGTGAGTGGGAGAGGCAGGCACTATTTCATCTGGCTTTACCTGAACACAGTCAGCAAAATGATCCAGGGCAAGTTCTGGAGTCTAAGATGACTGCAGAGGGTTCTGTCTCTCTCTCAAGCTCACCTTCAGGACCCCCGGTGAGCATTTCTGCACCTCTCCTGCCTTCCCGTCCCATTTTGGTGTATAGACACACATTGCTTCCAGGCAGCAGTGACAGTGATGCCTGTCAAGGTCTCTGGACTTAGTCTTGGATAGAAAGCAACACTGTCCCAAAGTCCTTCTGCATATTTAAGCAATCATGGTTTTAGAAGTATAAGTTTAGAAAAGGCAGCACTGTAAAGGCGAATCATTTAAAATTTTAAGGTAGTAATATCTTTTTTATAAAGCATTTAAAATAACCCCTGTCTAAGGTTTGGGCCTGCTGCTCATTTCCCTGGTTCTGTGCTAGGTTTTTGTCTGCTTGAGTTTGCATGGGTCTTGTGCATGCTGACACCATTGCTGTAAGTTCATATGAGCAAGGTCTTAGGAGCCTGTAAGACTGTTTCCATATGGTTACACACGTCCTCCCCTGCAGCTGATTAGTGCTCAGTGAGGAAGAGTTGATCTTCTTTATGATAGAGACTTTAGATAGGCTCACTAGATTCCAGTGGATGAACTTGCACTGAAGGACATTTAGGAAACATATATCACAGAATGCATGAAATTGGGTGGGGCAGCCTATGAGGGGCCCGGATGTGGGAGGGGGGTATAACGATGATTAAGGTGTTTTGTACAAAATGCACAAAAATTCAATAAGATACATTTAAAAAAATAACCACTGTCCTGTGTGATAGATCTAGACAAATTTCAAACTACAGAAACTTAGGAAGAATAATAGGATGGGAAGGTTTGCACTTGAAGACCATCCAAAAAACTCTCCATCGGGGAGTGCTATACAGATAACTGTGAGCAAGGAGACTCCAGAGCCAGAAAAAAAGAACCCACACATACACGTGAAATATTCAAACCCACAAACATGAATTATGTATGGAATTTTCAAACAATCAGCTTCCAAATGACTATTCCTGTAAGTTTAGGAGCACCTATACTTCTGATTCCAGACATTCTGTATATATTCTCAGATGTTCAAAATTAGCAAAGATAACTGCTCTATACACAACACAAGAAGTCGGAAAGGTAATACAGAATAACACAACTGAAAAAAAAAAGAAATAACCATGTAGGAACAGATGTTTATAAACCACAAAGCAAAGCCACAATAGGGCAGATGACCAACTACTTTTTGAACATTTTAACAAAATGGATAACAGGACAATTTGACCTATAAAATGGCAGAACATAACCACAGATAACATTTTCTTAAAATTAATTAAAAATATCTTGTTTACAATGCTTCAAATATCGTATATTAAAATACCTCTTAGATGCACTTAATGGCTCACTCCTGCAACCTCAGGCCTTGGGAGCCTGACACAGGAGGACTGTCAAAGGTTTGAGACCAGCCTTGGTTATATAGTGAGTTCTAGGCCAGCACAGGCAATGGAAGAAGACTGTCTAAAAAAATAGCAAAACACAACAAACAAAAATATCTGTTATTCAAAACAATGATCCCAAGAACCATTCATATACACTGGTTGTACCAAAGCACTTTGAAGCCAAATAATTTAACACCGTCAATGTAGTTTAAGAGTGTCATCTCAGTTGTGAACTTGAACATATTCTTTCCCTGAATATTATGATTAAAGACTGTGCAGAGAACTGCTGACATGAGAAGAGCATACAGCCTGCCACCTGAGGCTGATTCCATTCTTCCCTCCAAAACCCCAGAGGAGCCTTAGGCTGCAAAGACACAACCCAGCCTGTGGCAGTGACCTGACAATGGGCAGAGCTACCCACTGCAGGAAGGGAAGAGAGATGCCATGATAGGTCAGCAGAACTGGGGTTGGGCCACATTGGCAGTAATCCTCTGGGATGAGGGAGGATTGTATATATTCCCATTATTGCATGAGGGCAGGGGCTGGGCATGTCTGAAGGGGCTTCTTGGTTTGTGAACTCTTAGAAATGGCCAACTGGAATAGGATGAGGCCCTGAACTTAGAACTGAGTTGGGCAGGGTCCATGTGGAGCAATAGCACTACCACTAGGGAGAGGGCCATATGGAGATGCACAGAGAGTAGGCAGTTCAGGAAGAAAGGGCACATGGTGAACATGCCAGAACCTGGAAGGGTCTTGGGCTTCAGAGTCACCAAATCAGAGGGGCTTCTACCTCCCAAAGATTAGACAAAGGAATTTCCCACACAGATGAACAATAGCAAACCTCTCTTAATTTCCAACACTAAATATTTCCCAATTCAAAAAAGGTAAGCAGGAGCTAGAGAGATGACTCAGAGGTTAAGAACATTGGCTGCTCCTTCAAAGGACCCAGGTTCGGTTCCCAGCACCCACATGACAGCCAACAACTGCCTGTAACTCCAGTTCTAGGGCATCTAATACCCTCTTCTGACCTCCATGGGCATTATACTACACAGGTGCCCTTTCATAAATGCAGACAAAACACTCATAAACATAAAATAAAAATACATACAAAAATTAAATAAAAAGCAACAGGGTCAAGTTCCTAAAGACAACTAACAGTTGTCAGAAAGACCCATTCTCAAAATGAGTAAAAAATATAATCCAGTGTCCCCAAATAAGCTAGAGTAAGTTAAGGGAAAACAAACAAACACAGAAGACACCAAAGAACAATAGATGTCAGAACTAGAAAACTCAGAAATGATATGTTGAAATTTGGGAAGAAGCTGATGAACAAAAAAAATAATTATTTCATATGTGATGAACAATTAAGGAAGGCACTGTAACTGGATTCTCCAGGACAAGGTGAGGGGCCATCTTACCCACAGGACCGATGGCCTTAGCCATGGGGAACCGAAGACTTCTCTTGCCCAGAGGGTGGGAGGAATATGTTGATTTTCAGACGATACCTGGGGCTTGGTGTGTGTCCACTTTGAATGACAAAGTGGTGTTCAGCATCCATGACCTGAGGTGGGTTTGTAAATAGAACCCTGGGCACAGGATCTGTAGGACGGGCAGGCTGGTGAGCAGGTCTTTGACTAGGAGCGAGGAAAGCTAGAACAGTGTGTAGGGGATGGTGACAAAGCAGCAGCCACAGTAGGGACTCTAGCTTGCTTTATTTCTCCTCTTTCTTGGAAGGAAACAAGACCTTCAAACTTTGTTATAAGAAGTTAGTGGATCTGAGTGACCCACAGGTAGATGGCGATGAATACCGCCACCTGCTTGGGTCCACTCTCGTGCCCACATACCCACGTGCATGGGTCTCCCCTGTATCATTCAAAGGCAATAACAACAGCCACAGGGGACTGCTTCATCAACAGTTAAGTTCCTATGGTGGGGTGGTTGCCATGGCAACAATTTGAAGCTATTGAATCCAAATGTCCCAGATTACCACAGGATAATGGCAGAATTCCCATGTTCTGCTGTAACTGCTTCTCACTTTATCCAGCCTGGCTTCATCACGGACTGGGACACCTCCCAGGACTGCTCCCCGTATGTCTCCTGTGGCTCTCCACCTTGAAGTTTCCCTGTATGGCACCCAGATTAAGGCAGCAGGATGCTGTAGTGAGGCACGTGGCTGAGCCAGTACCCTTTAATCCTTGAAATAATGGTTACAGCTTGAGGATGTCTCCTGTTGACAGATGAGGCTTGTCGAAGGTCAGCCACCCACAGGCCTAGGTTTCCAGGCCAGCCATTGCCAAGGCAGTGCTCTGGGCTAGGCTCCTTCATTCTTTGTGTGATTTTCTATCCACTCTACATCTGTCTTGAAGGACAGCCATCTCGGTGAACAAACTTTCCTTCAGCATTTTCACCTGTGTTACAGCTCAGTGGTAGAGCATTTGCCTAGTAAGAACAAGGCACTGGATTCAACTCCCAACACTTCAAAATGAATAAGTAAGCAAATAAATAAATCCTTACTATACACCTGGGAGGATCTTTCCTTTTTAGACCCTGGGAATTATTTTCCCTAGGAAAATTTTTAACTCTGGTATCCTTTGATTTTTTTTTCCTTCCATGTCTGTTCTTCCCTAAATGTGCTATAATTTGTTTTTTGGAAATTCTTTGTCAACTTTAGGTTTTTTTTTTTTTTTTTTTTAAAGGAAGAACTCACAATCAGATATGTTCACCTGCACCCTAGGGAATCAGAATGCCATAGGAGAGTTCTACTAAGTGATTTGAGTTTTATGGCTACCAGGACTAATTGGAGAAGTTTATATTGGCAGGGTAGGGCATACTGGCTCCCACAGGGTAAGAACTAATGTGCACTGCTTAATTCTGTAGAAGATACTGAGGATCATTTGAGCCTGCTGTTATTTTAAAGTTCCGTCTAACTATTATTGTTTCCTCTAAGCAAATTACTTAGTTTCCAGCTATTTCCTGCTGATATTATTCATACGGAGCACCCACCTGACAAAGGAGAGTCACCCTTTGAAGTAGTTTCTTATCCTTTTTTTTGTTGTTGTTTTGTTTTTTAAATTCTTGGTATACTGTGTTGAAAATAATCACTTTTTCTACTTACTGCAAAAGACTCAAGGCATCAATTAATCAATCAAAAGAGTACTCTGGAAGTGATTTTTGCAAGATGTGCTTTATTTTAAGTCAGCCCTGAACCCAAAGTAGTGGGAGGGAGCCATTTTTGACATATTTTAGCCCATTCAAGGATTCTTCTCAGAAACTGTATTTTAATATGGAATGAAAACTACATTTCGATCATAAATTTTCATGCTACATTGGTATTTCATGAAGAGGTTGTATTACCAATGATAATAATTTAAGAAAAGCCATTTTTTTATTTCCCCAAGCTCAATATACATATTTCTTTCATAATTATGAACTTAAAAAACCCGTCTCAGATGTAAAAATGTGAATTGGAATATGTAAACTCTTTGATATACCTGAAAAACAGGAAGGAGAATGTCACATACTGGAAAAACCACTGCCTTAAATCATGGACATGGAAGAAAGCGTGTTGGAGGGTGGGGAGAGGCGGAAGAGCCCTGCTGGCCTCAAGTCACTGAAGTTCGGAAGTCAAGGTGTTCCACCTGTTTGGGCTGTCAGTTGCCGCCTTTTGTTTCAGGTGGAGCAGGAGCCAACTGGAGCAGAATGGTTACTATCACCTGGGGGGGTGTCTACCACCAGACCTCACAAGCAGGAGTCTGCATATTGGTTTTGCTGATTTTTTTTTTTTTTCCTGAGAAGTCACTGGTGTTCTGTGGAAAGATTTCTTACCAGTCTTCATTTAAGATAAGGCAGTAAGAGTGTCACTAATGTAATCTTTTTGCTTAGACTGAGGCTTGTCCTTCCACCGACATCTTCCGGGTCACTGGTTCCTTCTTTCCCCTTGAAACTCAGGCAGTGCTGCTGCCTCCTGTTGGTGGCTGCACATCTGGCTGTGCTGAGAGCTCATGGGACCAGTGCTCAGCAGCTTCCTCAGGGGTGAGAAGAGCTTGTGTTGCACTTGGCCAGGCCTCCAGGAAAGGTGAGACCCCTAGAGGGTAAACAGGTGCCTTTCCCTTCTCACTGATGGAAGGGACCCTATATACACCTTTCACCTAACCCATCAAAATGCAAGACACTGTTGAGTGAAAACAAGATAAAGCAAAGAGCCCTGATTTCAGAGGTACATGTGACTTCTTCAACAGTGCTGCCTTCTCTGCAGGGTGGCTTCCACTGCAAAAGAAAATCAGCTTCTTTCAGCCACCTGTCCGAAGAGAAACTGCTGCCATCAAACTAGAAATGCTTAGCTCTTAGGAGAATATTGTGCTTTTTTTTTTTTTTTTTTAAAAAAAAAAAGTCAAATGTTAACTTCATTCCCACTCTGAGTCTTAAGGGATCAATTTGTCTTTTCTCTAGTCCACTTGATCATGGTTTCTGGTGAACGGTATAGGAATATCAATTTGGCATAGAGATCTTCTTCTAGCTCCAGTTCCCCTGTCTCTCGAACTAAAAAAATATCCGTGCACAACTTCAAAATTCGATCCACATTTGGAAGTTCTTCAAACATGATGGAGTGAGAAATTCCACTGAAAAATTCACGGACAAATTTCCCAATCACCAGGACAACTGAAGCATATAATCCCATGATACTGGAAAAGAAGTAAGGAAAAATTGTAGCTGATCATTAATCTAATTATGAAAATATGTCAATAATACTGTTTGGAGAATGTAACACATTAGGTAGAAGCTAATACAAGCTGCATATGCTTTTGTGAAAGCAGCCCTTCTCCCTTTAACAATTCTGTCTTAGAGATTTACTTTTAATAATAAAAGCCTGGGTGGAAAGTGATTTCTTATGTATAATTCTACAAAATGCAACATGCCATGATTGTATCTTGTAGGGGATTGTGGATCGTGATATTTAAACATCAGAAAGTGATAAATGGTATAGATGTACTAAAAACTATGGTATCTAATTGATCCATTTGCTCTGGGTCAGAAAGCAGTCTAAGCAAAACCGTGGTAACACTATACTGAATTGCATGAAACCATGTCATAACAGGAAGGCACAGGGTGAAGGCAGGGTTCCAGAGTTGTGTGAGTCACACTAGGCAATCTGATGTTTTGGGGTCTCTTATCCTTTGTGTTTTCAAAGAAAGGGTCAGGGCTTTGTGATTTTTGATATTGTAATACCACACCTGGAGATCCTAGGATGAAAAAGGCTGCCATTCTAACTTAATATGATTCAGAAGCAGGTTCTTACAACCGTCAATCATTAAATCAGTCCTTACCCATAGCCAGCCAGAAAGCCCAGACTTGGGGGGCTGACTTTGTCATTGAAGACCACCAACTCCAAAGCCTGAGACTCCTGATTGTATATTCTACTTCCGGTTAGGTTGAGAACCCACCACTCACTGTTGGATGTAGTGACATTGTCTCTGGACAAAATGATGGTGATATTCATGAAATTATTTTCTGGAAGGGGAGAAAAAAAAATCAAAGCAGCATGAGAGTTTCAGGATTTGATGGAAATCAACAGTTCTTAAATGGCAAAACCTGGTCACCACATATAGCACAGTTTTATGATGTAAAGGACAGGATATAACAAGACAGTAGAAAGAGGAATAATCACTAGGTATTGGGGGTATTTTTACTTGCTTTGCAATCACCACCTAGAGGTGGATCATTCTTGCACATGTGTAAAACAGCCAGACCACAGGGAGTGGTGGAAGGTCCACAACTCAAGTATCTGTGCTGACTTTCCCAACAACCAAGGTGTTGGATGAGCTTGTCCTCCAAATGGCAAGCAACGGACAGACAGATGCCTTCTTCCCTAGTGACTCATCTGTTTGCTTCAATCACCTCAAACTAATTGGACTGTAAGACCCTCTGTAGGAGGGGAGGGGCAGAGGGAGCCAGTCATCCCTCCCACCCAGTCAGTCAGCCTTAGCTGCATGAGGGGGAGGGAATAAAGATAGGGACAGAGGAAGCCAGAGAGAGGGGATGGGCTTCACCATCTTGGAACGCTGGCACCAGGTCAGGAAGCCACTGCTGGGATGTAGGAAAAAAGTCCAAGGGTGTCCACACCTTTGTAAGTACCCTCTCACTGCCACCCTATGCTCTGTTAGTAAGCCAAATAAATCCTTTTGTCCCCTAAACTGTAGTTTGAAGGAATATTATCTCGGTTTGCCATAAGGATGGTGGGAGGAAGGGGCTGCACTAGGAGCCTGGAAGCCACACGTGCACCTCCCAGCAGTAATTTAACTTACATGAGGGGTCATTAAAAGCTCTTATATTGCCACCACTTACTAAGTGTCTCTCTAGGAGGAAGGCACTTTATTAGGTGTGGAAGGGTTACAGAACTGCATGCAGTATCATTCCTTATCTTAATGGGAGAAGATTATACACACAATTATGGTCATGTGGCAATTATCATAGGATCAGCTTTGTCAAGATGATCTGTCCCCTTGGAGAGAATCATTTCTGGTTGACTGGCTTTATAACTGTTTAAAGAGGAAATAGCATTGGAGCCAAGTTTTGCTGGCTTCAAAAGGTAGAAGTGGGATGGGGAGAAGAGCTCATTTCAGGAAGTTCTGCACCTATAATATGGCCAGTGGTTGTTCTTGTTGAAACATAAATCAAAAGCAAAGGAGGAGTAAGGGACAGGGCAAATAAAAGCTTGGAGTCACATTGCAGAGATTTTTTCTAAGAAGATTCCATCCTTGTCAATGGTAACAGCACCTGCAGGGATAAACACATCAATGAACTTTAAACTATGAGTGTAGTTTCTGGGCATATAACATTTTATGGTAAGTTTTTAGATTATAGAAACCTAGGACAATACTTGGAAGTGATTGTGAGATGGATGGATAGGTATATGGGTGAATGGAAGAATGAGTGGGTGAGTGAGTGGATGGATGGTGAATGGAGGGATGGAAGGACAGGTGGGTGAATGAAAGGATGAATGGAGAAAGAAAGGTGAGGAATGACAGGATATTAGTAAAGCCAAAGTCCTCGTCAAGGAAGCATATGATTCATGTAGAACTTTTAGGAATAGGAATAACACTGGTTCTCAAGACCAGAGACTGTCACAAGGGGGCCATTTGGCCCTGGATCCAGATAGCTTTAGGTTTGGATCTAGTTCTACCGTATATCTGCTTGGCTATGTAATCCATGTGACCGCGAGGTTGTTTCTTCACATGTAATCTAGAGATGGCTATCGATTTAGGCTACAGATGCCTGACATGACATCACTGAATGTGAGGAATGGAAGGAGCTGTAAGTGAGGAGAAAACTCAGTGACACTGCAAGATAGAAGGTGAAGAGGACTGGGAGTGGAGTCTGGGGAGAGACTGGCCTTGAAAAGGAGAGCATACCATTTTCTTGGAACCTATATGGAAGGAGAAAGGACCTTGTGAAACAAGAAGACACTGAGCATCCACTGTCTGTCTCCAGTGGGGAAGTTATCTGCTGAAACAGCAGCAGGGAAGACCCTGAAGATGGACAGAATCATTTCATAAAGAGCTAGTGTTGATCTCCTGTGTTCTCAGACTAAATAGTTCTTCATCTATTTCTGGTCTAGCAGGAAATATAAAATTTCTCCATGCACCTTGCAGTTACTAAATAAGCATCGTGGAGCCTAGCCTCCAGTACCCTGCATGGTGACTGCTGCAAACGGCTCATCTAGATTCGTGACTGAACATATGCTGGATATCTGCTTTGGCCTTTACCACTGTCAGGATTATTGACTTCAAGAAATGAAGTCAAAACATTCTTTATAATACAGTCATGTGCCATTCAGTGACAGGCTATCTCCTGAGGAATTTATTAGCCAAAATTGTCATTGTGCCAGTATTACAGAGTGCACTTGCATAAACCTAGACACGATCTGTTTGCTGCTCACTTAGGCTCAATCCTATATGCTGCTAACATGCATGTAGTCTGTGGTTGACAGAAATATCACTGACTGTAATCATCTGACTACAATCCAAAACAACCTTCCTCCACCACTTGTATGCTGGAAAAGTCCAATCGCTAAAGCACTGCTCTTGATACTTATTAACCTTGGCCCAATCAAGCACATTTCATGCTGTCTTTTTACTGTTCTTAGTGGGAGAGACCATCATGTTTACTAATTTGTGAGGCAGTTCTCTGTAGGGGACCTAGTTGCTAAGAGAAAATGTAAACAGACTGGTAAATTTGTACTCTAAGCCATAAAGCATGGATTTGAGTCAGTCAGGGATTTTAATCAATGATGAGCAGAAAATGAAAAGTATGTCTTGTAGGTGTATCAAGATCCCTGTTGCTAGTGAAGGCAGACAGAGGTTTTATGGTTCTTGTCACAGAGAGCTAGATAACTAGTAGGCAATTTGATTCTGAAGTTGAATAAAAGTAAGATTTACACAGTTCTGAAAAGACTTCTCATTCTTACCGGATAAAAGCTGCTTTATAGGTTTTGAGTTAGAGTCACTGGGCGCTTTCACATAATATGGGTAGATCTTTTCTATTGTCCTGTACATTAAGAAAAAAGATGGAATTTAGTTTTAGTTGTTTTCACAACTAAAGTTGATATTTTTGTTGCTATTTGACCTCATAGCAAGTAATGATGAAAGTCCTTATCTATCATGTATTGCATAAACATCTTAATTTATGGGATTTCATTATGATCAGAGTTCACTGAAGCTGATTGTAACCAGATACACACCTAACTCATTATACAAGTGTCTTGAAAGCAGTTACTGCTTCCCCCACATCTCTGACTTCTTGGTGAAAGAGTTTTTTTTTTTTTTTTTTTTCCTGGCTAGGATATTTTAACAGTTATTTAACACTGAGTACTTCTCTGATTTTAATTTTTAGTTATTTTTTAAATGCCTACAATCAAGAAGATTGCACAATTAATCTGGGGAAGAGTGAGGCATGAGGATAGAACATGCAACTTGGACCCCCACATTTTTTTGGCTTCATAGAAGTTGTGTGACTCCATGTTTTCGCTTGGAAATGATGGGGGAGGAGTTGATGATCTTTAATAGTCCCTGAATGTTAGTGATCCATGAGGAATATCTTAGTCAGGGAGTTAAGAGTTCAAGTGACTATCCTAGACGTCTTCACGGTCAACAGATTAACATGAGGCCATGGCAGGCTGGAGAAAAAGCTGGGGAAATTGTTGCTGGGCATCTGGAATATTCCATGAGTTTTAGATACATATCATTGCCCCCTGATAGCTTTTATTTATCTTATATCAGTTTGAAACAGAGCACTTATGTGGCAGGTCCCCCCCCAACCCAATCAATTTTCCTGTACCCTTTGCCTCCCTACCCCATTTCCCACCCCATCAGACGAGTTGGCATTTAGCCATGCCAGGGCTAAATCATAGTAGAAAGGGGTCTATTCTTGGCTTTTGGTAATTACAGTCATGTAGGAGTAAGGTTTGTTACCCACCCATAAGGTCAATACTCTCTGTAGGAGCAAAGTTTGTTACCTACCCCTAAGGTCAATACTCCCTGGGCTGGCAGATAGAGGAAGTGAAGGGCAAGGGACACGGCTCAACACCAGTGGCTTCCTATGAGGGAATCTCTGGCCTGTTTCCTTCCTTTGAAGGTAGATGGCTTCGGTGGGCACCCAAGACCAGGTGGTAGACATGATTACAAAATGTTTGGATCACTTAAGTGTAATATGTGTTTTACTCCTTGAAGGCAATGACTTCAGGGCAGGGAATACAGAAAAAATGGCTCATGTTCTGATCAACAGGTGGACCTAGGATGGCCTGCAGAGTTCCCATCCTCTAGATGTATGAGGATCAGCTAGCACATGACATCCAGTGGGTGGAGAATGGGGCTCAGAGGCTGAAGGAGAGAATCACCTTGCGGTACACATTGATCACTGAGGGTAGGAGAACAGTGTGCATCTTGGTGAAAGACCAGCAGGACAGCACTTTGCCATAGACACAGGGTGTCCCAAGTTGGCCACACAGAAGCCATCACTCACAGCATGTATATAACTGCAGGGGAAGTGGAGCCCTGAGACTGAGATGTCGTCATTATGGCAAAACAGGGCTTCCAGATAGAAGTTCACTTGTAACTTCTCTCAGAAGTTGCATTATTGTAGAGATTTTGTGACAGCCTCATATTCCCATGAAAGTTATATTCACAAGGTAATGGAACTTACACTGGCGTGTTTGAACTTTCTGTGTCATTCCCAGCGATCATTTTTGCTATATTCTTTCGTGTATTATTTTTAAGAAGAAAAGAAAGCTTATCTGTTGCTATTTCTGCTTTTGCACCCAGAGTCATGTTTCTGTGGAGGAAAGAAAAAAGAAAAAATGCCCAATGTCAGTGATTATTCTAAAGTTTGGGAGAGAGATTTATAGACTCACTTGACTGACAGTTTTATATCTCACCAAGTTTTCAGTGAGTCAGTTTTCATCCCAGCCTCCCTCTCCTTCTCACTTCTACCCTCTTAAACAGCCAAATTAATAAAATCCAGGGAGGCCATAAACCCTGTTACACAGTTAGAAAAGAGGAGGCAGAGTCTACTGGCCAAGCGGCAACTGTCTTGATGAGCTAACAGATTTCAGAGACATTTTTATACAGAACCAATGATGTCAGTCTCCACGGAGAGTAACAAAATCCATGTTTAAAAAACAATGTTTAATCAAAAGTTGATTTTCCTTCTTATTCTTATGTTTTGGTAGCTCTTCAAAGAAACAGCAGAAGTAATTCTTTTGGCCATTGTTACAAAGTGGAAGCAAAGAATTAAGAGAGAAGCAGAAAATAAGGTTACTTTCCAATTTCTTTGTGAATTCACTTTAGCGTTAGTAGGTTTTTCTTGGAACCTGTCATGAGTCTGTCTTAATTTTGTTTTATGTTGATACAAATTTCTACTCTTCAGCCCAGGCTGGCCTGGAATTTACTATGTAGCCCAGGCTAGACTTGAACACATTGTGAACTTCTTGTCTCATCCTTCTGAGTGTTAGAGGTATAGGTGCAGACACCATGCTCGACTTCTTTCTTAATTTAAGCCAAGAGGTTCATTGTGTGGCCTCAAATGAGCCTGCTGGTGGACTGCCTAGGGTCTTGCTCCTCGAGATTGTGACAACAGAAGCTACATAACCAACCAGTATGTTGTGCTGAGGTCCCTAAAAGTGGGTCACTAAAGCACTGGGTGAAATGTTTGGATTTAACACGTGCTTTGTTTATCCAAAGACAAAGATGGGAGGCATGCTGGTGTTTGGCTCTGGCAGGGTGGGAACAAAGACTCTCTCCTGACTCTGCTGCTTCTGGGACCTGCTAAAGGGCCCTCAGACCCCACACTCACAGAACAGATCTGCTAAGCTTCTCCAGTGGTACAGGGATACAGGTGACAATCCAGGCCTTCGGAGGCTGCGTTCTTTATTACTAAGGCCAAACTTCAACCTTTCATGGAAATCTTAACAATTCACCCAGACTCTACCTTATTTTCTAAACCATTCCTCTCTTTTCTCTCTACTTTTCTGTCATTGCTAGTCTCTCTTTAAAAAACTGCAATTAAAAAAAAAACTTAATAAATTCTTGGTCTAGTCATTGGTTCCTAGAAAAGTCACATTTAGTAAACTAAAATGTTAGCTTTAGCGTAAAAGGAAATTGTCAAGTGTAAAGATCTACATTAAGTGATGCTGATATTCCTGCTCTTCTCTCGCCCCAGCCTGAAGTAAGATTAAGGAAAGGGGAAGGATGCAGGAAACACAGTAACTACCTCTGAATACTCCATGATAAAACAAGAGAGAAGCTACTATTGAAGTCGATGAGTTCCTGTATCATTTTCTGCTTACTGGGAGGGCTGATGGTCCACAAAGAATTTGAGTTTCCCTCCAGTTCTGCTACTGTTATATCTTCTCTTTCGTAATTTTCCAGAAATTGCATAGCACCCTGCATGCACACAAACACACACATGTATAAATGGATTATATTTATGGTGCTCATTCTTTAACTGGCTTTACAAAGAATTCTTCCTAGGAAGGAATGGTTATGGACCAGCCAAGGCTTAGGGTTCCACTCTCTCTTCCTGTGCACAGATATGGCAGCTCCCATCACAAGCCCAACCACAGTGGTGCTGGTCTATCGCCAATACAGCTATGATCACTCCTATTAAATAATAAAGTAGAATCTCATAGTTTATAGTCATTTTTCCCCTCTCTCATGAAATCTCATCAATTAAGAAGGAAATTCTTCTCCTAAGAAAGACAGTATTTAATCTATCCAGGAAATCCTGGCCTTGTCCTGATAGTTGCCGATTGCTTAAGACTAGTTTTGACAGTGCGAATTACTGATGATAATTTTACACAAAGCATCTATTTCATCTGTTTGCCTAAATTAAAAGTAGCATTTGTGAAACTGGCTTTATTAATTTTTTCAATGTCTAATAGACCTTTTTGCAACGGGGTCTCCCTGTAGCCCCAGATGGCTTGGAACTGGCTATGTAGACCAGGCTGGGCTTGAACTCACAGAGATTCACCTGCCTTTGCCTCCTGATGTTGGGAATTGAAGGCATGCGGCACCATGCCCAGCTCATACAATACTTTATATTTAGACACCCTCTCCTATTTGCACCCCTCTCCCTCATAGCCTGCAGACAGGATTTCATGCATTCTGTCATCTAGGCTGAGGTCTATCGAGTCAAGTTTCTATACCCAGATGTCTCTGGTTTTATGATGCAAATCACGTTATCATATTATCAAAATATGAAATACAGAGAAAAGACTTGCAACTGCTGTGGCAGAACCACCAGAGCATTATCCCTGTCTCAGGTGGAAAGGGCTGTGTTTCTTTTGGCTTAATGCTTTAAAATACAACAGTCTGAGTATTTTTCATTTATAGTTTACTTGAGAAATTGGCACATAACTTATAGCCTTATATACTTTTTTTTAATTACAAAAGAAATTTCTTGGAAAATCTTCAGACAAAAAACATGTAAGACTAGAAGTGGAGGCTTTCCTCTCATGACGACTGCTGGATGAACCAGTACCAATCAGATTCATTTAATATATGGGGCTGGATAGATGTTTCAACATTAAGTGCTTTTGCGGCTCTTGCAGAGGAAAACTTGGGTTTGGCTGCCAGCACCCATGTCAGGTGGCTTACGACCATCAGTAACTCTAGGATCTGATGTTCTCTTCTGGTCCCATTGGGGTCTGCTTGCACGTGGTGCACATGTGTACACTGAGGCACATCCACATAAAATAATAAAATTAACAAATCTTTAAAAAATACAGCTGGTGCCGAGTGTGGTGGCGCATGCCTTTAATCCCAGCACTCAGGAGGCAGAGGCAGGCAGATCTCTGTGAGTTCAAGGCCAGCCTGATTTACATAGTGAGTTCCTGGACAGCTGGGGCTACAGGGAGACCCTGTCTCAAAAAAACCAAAAGAAAAAAAAAATACAGCTGGTATGGTGGTACAGGCCTTTAATCCCAGCCCCTGGAAGGAAGAGGTAAGTGAATCTCTGTGAGAGAGGCCATCCTGGTCTACACGGCAACTGTCAGGCTAGCTGGGGCTACAGGGAGATCCTGTCTCAAAAATAAAAACAACAGGAGGTTGGAGAGACAGCTCAGCAGTTAAGAGCACTGGTTGCTCTTGCAGGGGACCTAGATTCCACTCCCAGCACCCACATGGTGGCTAACAGTTGTCCATTACCTTGGTCCCAGGGGATCTGATGCCCTCTTCAGACCTCTTCAGGCATTGCACAACATGGCTGCACTGACATACATGGAGGCAATACCGTCATACATATAAAATAATAAAATATTAAAAATGAAAACAAAAAGTTCACAATTTAAGTCAATTTTTGTTGAACTCTCAAATTGCTTCCATTTCTGTCAATATAAGGAACATGCTCTTAAACAAGAACCTACATATTGCTTTTCCATATTTTGAATTAATTTATTAGGACAGATTTCCAGAATAGTCAGGTCAATCAAAGATTAACATCCACCACTGTTTAAAAGTGTGTGTTTTTTAATGGATCAAAGTCTGTTGAATTTTCATTAAAACATTCTAAATTACAGTTATGTTTGCTATCACTTATATCCATTACATAAATATAACAATAGATTATCAAAGTAGTCTGTGGCCTGTGGCCAGGTGACACATATGATCATCCCAGAAGAATTTCTCACACTCACCATCACAAGGCATGGCAAACTATTTAACCACATGGCAACCAGCAAGCTCACTTAAATGAAGGTCTTCAAAGAGATCTAGACCTATTTACTTACAGTGTTGGTAGAGAAAGATCTCATGAATGTATTAAACTTTGGCTGCTCCATGATTTTCAGCTGGCTTTGCTGGGCACTCATTGTAAAGATAGGCTAGAAAACAAAGGCACACAGCACAGTCAGCATGGCTTAGCTCTTCTGGGCATCTGGATTAAAATGAAAACATTCGTACAGTTCATCAACCGCTGATTTCCTGAAGGCAGTTGGTCTTAGAAATCTTTTTGCACTGATTAGTCCTATTCTCAAAACCAGATGGATGATTGCTCTTATTACTATCGTTATTACTTGAAATGCTGGGGATTAAACCCAGGGCCTTGCATGTGCTCTTCAACAGAGCTGCTCTTTCACTGGGTTCTGGCACCTTCTTCCATATATCATGGTTGTGCTGATCAGTGCACATTTAAATAGGACATTGACATTAGGAGTCATCACTATACATACTACTCAGAGCTCTCAAGCACCAGTGCTCCATTTGGAAATGTCCCAGAAAGTAGGTCAGTCCAGATTACCTGATATCCTCCCAGGGTGATTGTGACCGACACGTCCAGGGGCTGGTTGATAACCCCTGCAACAGATTTGATCAGTGACATGAAGAGAAGAGGAAACCAGACAATGCAGATAAGCAGGACAATGATCATGCCGCCCATGCCGTACTTCACCACCTTCTTCTTCTTCTGGCCCCGGGGCTGAGGGTATCTCTGCAACACCAGAGTTCAGAAAGGTTCAGCAGACATGCCAGAGAGGAGGGGCAGGAGGCAGGGCTGGACAAAGGTGAGTACTCTCCTCACAGGGCGGGGAACACGAACACAGGCTTAGACCTCATTCTTCTCTCCTTGTGACATGGGGGTGGAAGAAACCTTTTCCCAGCCTTGGTAAGTTTGAGTCATGTCCCCATGGTGGTGCCCGTTGGGGCCAACACAGCCCTTCAAAGTTGTGTGGGATTTGCTGGTGATAAACCTAAGGAGCAGTGGATTATAAACCTTGCTGAGTAAACCTCCTGGTTAAAAAAATTATTTATGTATTTGTTATTATTATTTTAAATATCTTGTTTAATATTTTTACTTTATGTGTATGTATGAGTGTATTGCCTGCATGTGTGTAAGTGTGCCCATGTCCTGCAGTGCCTGTGAAGAACAGAATAAGGCATCAGATCCCCTGGAACTAGAGCTACAGATGGTTGTTAGCCGCCATGTGGGTACTGGGAATTGAATCTGGGTCTTCTGAAAGAGCAGTCGGTGCTCTTAATTGCAGAGACATCTCACCAGACCTGTTATTTATTATGATTTTTTATTTTATATGTGTGAGTGTATTGCCTGCATGTATGTTAGTGCACCTGTGTTATGCAATACTTGCAGATGTCAGAAGAGGGCATCAGATCCCCTGGAACTGGAGTTACAGATGGTTGTTAGCCACCATGTAGGTGGGAATGGAACCTAGGTCATCTGCAAGAACAGCCAGTACTCTTAACCACTGAGCCATCACTCTAGTCCCTAAACCTCCTGGTTTTAAGGGGTCATGCCAGAAAAAGACATTTTATTTTAAATTCCTGAATATTCAAAATCTGTGCCTTCTAACTAACCCCTGCTTGGGCCTGAAGGACAGAAAGACATTATTTCAACTTAACTCATAACACATATTATCAAAGACAATATTGTTCAGGCTCTCAAGAAAGATTTACATGGCTAGAAGGGCCATGTCTGTGGCCAGTGACTGAGCAGGAGCTCCAGGGAGTGCTGGAGGCTGGTGAGAGGGACATGTATGCTAGTAACAAGGGCTGGTATAATGCTCAGGTTGTATCACTCTGTTGGTTTCAGGACAGGTTCCTTCAAGTTCCCCTAAGTGTGGTGACCAAGTGGGAAGAGCCAGCTTTAGCTATGATGTTGAAATCTACATGCATGATCTTGCTTGTATGTTGCTCCTGTGTGGCATTTCACCCCTTCAGGTTTCTTTAGAGCTAGACAATGCCATGGTTTGCATTTGGTTTGTTCCCTTTGATATTCATGTTGAAATTCAATCACCATTATAAGCTATTAAGAGGTGATTAGAGTCATATCCTCATGAATGAATCCATTTAGGAGGTTATTGTAGTAATTCACTAATGGGCTCTCTATTGTTCTGCTACAAGAGCCAGTTCAGTTGTGTCTCTTGTGCTTTCCCTGTCTCTAACCATGTGATGCCCTGTGCCACCTAGGGACTCTGCTATCACTAGAGGCAGCTCTTTGATTGTGAGAGAGAACCCTAATTTACTCAGTCTGTGATAATGTTATTAGCAACAGAAAACCAGCTGAGATAAGCTACACATTAGCACTCTAGTCATACCTGCTCCACATCCTGGCAGAGTGAGTTCTCCTAAGGCTCACAATTCCCCCAGGAGGAATCTTCCAATTCCAATAGGTTAAAATCAGGAGAACTAACTCCAAGTCTGAGCACTACAAACCTGAATGAAGGCCTGGGAGTCAGCTCAGGACATAGCTGAATAAACCTTGGCACTCAGTGGTTGCTGAAGATGGTCCTGGAACATGAGAACATATGCTTGACCCAATGGTAGTTGGGACTATTATGGAGATTGGGAATTGAATCTGGGTCCTCTGAAAGAGCAGTCGGTGCTCTTAATCGCTGAGTCATCTGGAGATTTGTTCCCACTTAGTATACAAAAGGTAATACTTCTAAATTATCTTATGATATGAAGGTTATATAAAGCTCAGATGTCACCACACATTTTAATATCTTTGCAGTGAAATTTGATACTGTTCACTCTAATTTTTCTTTTTCTCACTATCTGAAAATATGCTACAGTCTAATATTTGAACATACGAAATACCCTATACATAAAATACATACACACACATACAGATTTGCTTATCCATTTCATTTTCTTAGCCACCACTCCCAGGCCTACACGAGAACTCCCACACTACATCATGAAAAGTTCTGTGAAAATTTTATCTTGTGTCTATCAAGGACAATTTTATTTTCTTTTGGTTGAAGTGGGGCCATGCTAGCTCCTCTCCTGATGACTGGGACTAGGTCATCTCCAAAGCTCCCATACTCTTCTTCCTTTTCCTGCTCACACTATCCGAACTGCACGGGCAGACCAAGGTGAAGGCTTCTTAAAATAGTTTACTTATTATTTTTATTTTACGTGTATGCATATATTGCCTGCATGTAGGTAAGTGCACCCATGTCATGTAATGCCCGTGGAGGACAGAAGAGACTGTTGGATCCCCTGGAACTGGAGTTACAGACAGTTGTTAACTGCCATGTAGGTGCTGGGATTTGAACCCAGGTCTTCTGCAAGAACAGTCAGTTTTCTTAACCAGTGAGCCACCTCTCCAGCCCCAAGGTGAATACTTTTTAAATGGGCTGTCAATTCTGCATCCTGGCATACTTTATCAAACCTCTCTTTTATGTAGCTCAGCTCTTTACTGTTGGAAAACTGGAAACCCAGTTTGCCATCCCTGTATATTTCTAATTAGGTTCCTAGAGAGAGTTGGGAAGTAGCTGTGTGGGAATCATTGGCAAAAATAGTGAGCAGTCTGCATTCATATGTTCATGCCAAAACTTTGTCTTTCAGGAAATTGTTCTTGCTTCACAAAGTGTATAATACTGATCTTATCACCACACTTAACAGTGGAGAAAAATAAAGAGGCACCTGACTCTCAATATGCTAAGTACTAGATAGGCTATGAAGGGGGTTTTGAGGGGCCCTCAGGAAAGATGTGGACCAAAGTGCAGCCACAGAAGGCCCATGAGAAAGGTGTGAAATTTGACATTCCGGGCTGGGAAGGAGTTAGACCATGGAGAAGTGGGCAGAGTGTTTGGGCAGTGAAGAGATATGCCAAGGCCTTCTCTGGGGAACAAAGAGAATAAAAATATCTAACAGCTAGGTCCCTGTAAGAGTGGAGGAGCAGGGACAAGGCTTGGGGCAGAGAACTTAGGAGCACACAGAAAAGTAGATGCTCCCTCTGCCCCCAGCCAACTCATACTCCATCAGCCTGTAGTCTCAGAGAAGCCTTCATTCCTTACCGTTCCCCAGGGGTGCTCTCAGAGTATCGCGTACCTCTCTGTGAAAGCATCCATCTTACATGCACTTATTTGTATGACCAAGTTATTCACATATTTCCTTCTACTGGGCCATCAGACCTATGTTTGTGGGGTACTATACACTATAGTAGTGTTCTGGCTACATTTGCTTAGCAAATGTTTACAGCAGATTGGGAAAAAAGGGCCTCAATTTCTTCTTCCTCTATGCACAGCCCCTTGTAACAGGCTGTTTCAGGCTCACTGACTCACTCATGCTCTGAATCTAGGCTGCCTTTGGGTTTGCTTTGGTCAAACATGCTAAAGAGAAGACTCTCAGCCCAAGCTTCATGGGCTTTCCAGACTTATTCTGGCTGTCATGGAATGTGAGGCCATCATGGGGGGAAGCCTGGGCTTCCTCCCTGAGGATAAGGGAAGGCCTCTGCTTCGCTACTGGCAGGCTCTATCTGTGTGGATTCAACCAACATCAGCTCACAGATACTGGGGGCGGGGGGGGGGGATTGTGGATACAGAATGTTTTCTGGTCCATAATACCTGAATAAAACAGCCTGACCTCTATTTGCATAGCATTTACCTTATGTTAGGTAACCCAAGCAGGCTAAAGATGATTTAAAATGTATGGGAGGATATGTAGAAGGGTCTGAACAAGTACTGTACCCCCAGAACTGTGAACAAAATGAAACCTTTCCTCTCGTTGAGTTGATTTATCTTGGGTATTTCATAGTGTCAGAAATCTGACTAAAACTTGGAAGCAGATTTAATGCCTTCATGGTGTAAATTTTCCTTTGACACCCTTAGTGTGTACTTGAACACTCCCTGGCAACTGCGTCCTGAGACAACTGACTCTGCAATGGAGTAGCATCGATTATTAGAAATGTCTTTATTTTCCAGGAGCTGGAGAGATGGCTCAGAGGTTAAGAACACTGGTTGCTCTTTCAGGAGACCTGGGTTCGAGTCCCAGCAACCACATGGAAGCTAACAATCATTCGTAACTCCAGTTCCAGGGGATCTGACACTCTCTTCTGTCCTCTGTGGGCATTGCATGACATGGGTGCACTTACATACATGTAGGCAATACACTTATATGCATAAAATTAATTAATTAATTAAAAAATTAAAGTCTTTATTTTCCATTGAAATTTCTTGGAGCTTCTGCCTACTTGGCTTTTGTTGGTTTCTGTCTCACAAATTAATTCAAGTTTTGCATTGTCTCCCCCAAATTTCAAAATGTTGAAAACTGTTACATTTGCTCTCCCTTACAGTTCTCTAGTAAACTAAATGATTCATGGACCTTTCTAGTTTTCCTCCTGTGTAATGACTTCTAGGGCCTTCGTTGTCCTGGCTGCCACCCTGTATCCTTGGTAGAGTAGCTTTTGTATTTTGTACTCTGGTTGCATGTAGTTTTTCCTCAGAGAACCAGAGCTTTCTCTCTATGGTACAATGTTGAGAAGTAGTGAGGCCTTTATAGGGCTTTTGGACCAAATTAAGGGTCCTTATGAATTAGCTGTTTTCTCCTGTGTAATAGATTTGTTGTGATAGAAGATCAACCTCTCTTCTCTTCCACACTTGCCCGATTCTCCGTTTTCCCAGCATGTGCGGAGAAGAAGGAAGCTTTTACTAAAAGCCAAATAGATGCTAGCATCTTCCTGCCCCCAAG